CACCTTCCGACATTTCCGATCGGGCTAATTCGGACAAAAACAAAGCCGTGTATTAGTTCATGTTTATATGTAAACCCACTTTTGTCTTCATGGTTCAATAATTTATATTATCCGGCAGCCAATGATGATCGGGCATACAAAATAACTCAAGTCATTTTGTATGTCCTATCGTCATAGGATACCGGATAATACCGTTATTGAATGCCAACGAAACCAATAACTTTCGTATCTGGCAGTAAAATTTAATATTCCAGCTTCTGGGTCCCTTAGGGACCCAGAGCTGGTATATTAAAAATACAGCCAGATACTCGAATTATTTTTCTGGGAAATGATTATCATGCGATCCTACGGATCATATGAAATCATTTATCCGGAAAAATAATTCATGATTCGCATCCAATAACTCTATAGTATATAGCAAGTAAAAATATTATCCGTGTTAATATTAGCTTCTGGATTGGTCTAGGATTATTACGACCTGGTATATGTGTCATAGTTTAATTCACAACTTTGGTTTTAGTTCTAGATTTTCCGGTACAATGCCACAAATATGTATTATTTAACCCATATTTTTGATTATCTCGTCTAGTTACTGGATCAGAGCTGATCTGAACCGGGCCTGACCTAACCCATTTAGAATTTTAATCAATTACCAAAACCAAATAGGTCGCTGATTCTATAATTAGAACATTGATAAGATTAACGATTTACTGGCAACATGACTTTCACGTTAATCTTTGATCAATCAATGTAGAGGAGATCAATGATATCAATCATCCAATTTACTCTATGATAACGATTATTGCTTTAAATTTCGAGAATTGCGGTGATAAGCAATTTTCTGGGCATTAATGGCATTACATTTTCCCATTTATTAATCTAAAGATCAAAAAAATGCTCTCTTAATAATTAAATTAGAAACTACAGATTCTTGATGAAATTTTAACTATGTACGCACAACATCTTATTGTTATGCATATTCAGGGGCCATGTGAAACCGAAATTTAATTAATCTGTTTCATTTATAATTTTCCTAATTTGTAATACTAGACCTGAGTCGATACGCACATTATTTCATGTATTTTTCAATAAAAAAAAAACTGTTGATCAGCTTTTTTTCTGTTTACGAATTCGCAGCAGTGAATATAAGCCTTGGCAATTTTTTAACATCTTTATACTTTCCTTTTCGTTTTATTTACATTGTGTTCTGGTCATCGGATAAACCTTGGCAAACGCGTATGGTAGACTTTTGATATAGCAAATAACTGCTTTACCCCTAAGCTTTGTCAAGAAAAAATAAATAAAAATAAAATAACGAAAAATTATTATTAGTAAATTTGGTATGGTAAAAATACATAACCCCTAAAATTTGGCTATATTAAGAAATTATCTGAACGGACTTTAATCAACAACCATGAAGTTATCATTCTTCTTTCTTTTCATTGCAATAATTTCCCTCCCTTCAGCGAAAACACAGAACACAACGACTACACCTACTGTTTGCAATGGATATGCTGATTTATGTAGCAAACCCTATTCTCAAGTAGCGTTTGTTGCAACGCATAATTCATATGCATATGGTGGTGTTCCCGCGATAAATCAGTTCTTTGACATTTCAACGCAGTTAAAAGATGGTGTTAGAGTTTTCCTTCTTGATGGACACAACTCGACCACAGGATCTGATATTGAACTTTGTCATACATCTTGTGTTTTATTGGATACAGGAACTGTTGCAAATACTTTGAAAAACATTACCAGTTTTTTACAAAAGAATCCGAATGAAGTAATTACAATCTTTTGGGAAAATTATAACAATATAGATCCTCTTAGATACGAAGCTGAATATGATAAAGCGGGTCTGACTCAATATTGCTTCACACAACCTGTTGATGGTACATGGCCTACTATGGCTGCGATTATTCAATCCGGAAAACGGGTTATTAACTTTATTGACACTAACGCTAACACTAATACTGTCCCTTGGTATGAATATGTTTTATATACTATATAATATATTTACATAATATATATATATATATAATACATTTTTGCTAATTTATTATTTACAGGTTAATGTCTGAATATTCTTATGTATTCGAAACTCCATTTCAAAACTCTGATGCTAATGCTTGGCAATGTACCGTTGACCGACCAAAAAATAAACCTCAACAAATGTATATGGTGAATCATTTCCTCTACATTTCATTACAAGGTGGTTCTATCGAAATTCCTCAACCTCAAAGTGCTGCGTCAACTAATAGTGATAATCTTGCCAAGCATGTTCAAAATTGTACTAGTATTTTTGACCAAATTCCAAATTTTGTTGCTGTCGATTTTTATGATCAGGGTCAAAATAATGTAAATGCGTTTAGCATTGTTGCTGGTTTGAATAAAGTAACCTACACACCACAGTCTTATGGTAATGGAACAAATCCTCTAGCAACTACAGGAAGTAAAAAGAATAGTGCTAGTGATCTTAAAGTAAATGGGTTATTTAATGCTGGAATCGCCTTAGTGGGTGTTGCAACTTTCATTATTATTGGATTATAAATAAATCAACATATTTCATTTTTAGAGTTATAGCATTAAAAATTTTTTATATAATATATAGCATTTCATTATATAAATTAATTGTTTTTGTATTTTCAAAATTCAAAATTTTATTCGATATATCAGAAATTTCAACTTTTATGTTAGTATTAACATCCTTTAAAAATACTATGTCATATTAGTAAATTGATAATTTAAAAAATAAAATAAAAGAAAAATATCGATATATATAATTTTATCTTGTATAGAAAAGCTCTTTTATTGATTATGTTGTGTTTTTGTTGGTTACTTATCAACGTCATATAAAAACAAAATTTTTGAAACAAAACATATTTGTTTGTATGCGTTTAGCCTTTCGAACTTATAAAAATCTTTAAATTTTTTAATTAAATTTATTTTAGTTGGAATTCACTTAAGTGGATTTCGAATCGATATCAGATCTCATTTAACAGATCATGCCGCGGTCTCACCACTCATGGATTTATGAAAGCAAAGTCCATAAAATACGTCGCGAGTATCCCTGTGATGCAATTTTTCACTACCGTATTCTGTTCGCCAAAGTACAATTGAAAAAAAATTGAATCACGAGTATTACACATCACATGGTGTATAAATAATATTTTAAAAATTGATCTATGTTATTTGTCACGCCGGGTACTTTGGCGAACAGAATACAGTATGTGAAATTAAATATGAGTGCCGCCAAGGGAAAACCTGTCATCGGAAAATCTATAATAATAATGGACTGTACACAAAATATAATTGACTTTGGCAGCACTCATATACATTATTTGTCACAACAAATAATAAAGAAATCAGGTTTGGCTTTTCTATTTTCGAAGTGTTTTTATATAACTAAGGATCTTCCAGTTTAATACATTATTGAAGTGACCCACCTTCTGTCAAGGATCAATTTCAATCATGTAAAGTAGTCTGATCATAAAAACAAATAAAAAAGAGTTAGTAATGAAAATTAAGGCTTCTACCAATCTCTCTTCGATAGCCAATGGATCAAAATAAAAAGTTAATTTGCTTCTGGTTAATACAGGTTAAAATTAGCATCTATGATGGACGAACTCAGCTTTTAAATTGATTCATATTGATCATGTATTGAAAATAAGAATGCAGCATATGATCTTTTTGTTAATATGACATTATAGTCTATTTAAAATTCTACTAAAGGACTATTGCTCAATAGTAGAGTATCTAAACCCATCCACTCCTTCTATTGATTGTTGTTGTTGGTTCTTTAATATAAAAACTGCAACATCATTCTGCAGTAACACATAGTTAGAAATCCAAGAGACAAAATAGGTTCCAAACCCATTAACTACTTGAGGCGTTTCATTAAAGTTATTGAGAGTATCTTTAAGAGCGACATTATTCGGAATTTGAATGCTATTCCCTTGATCATCCACAAAATAAATTTTTGCGATGTTAGGACTTATTTTTTCGATTCTCATGTTGACATTGTTGCCAAATTCGACAACACTTATATTGTCGTTTTTGTATGAAAAAGTGCCTCTAAATTTCATTTCAGATGGGTCATTGACAAAATCTGTTGACATTTTTTATGTTGTTAACGGTTTTTTTTAGGGAGGTGTAAAAAAAATATGCTTGGCCTTTTTTTATATAAAATCTGCCTTGCAGATCATATGTTAACTGTTTTTCATTAACCATTGCCGCAACTAGGGATGTTGTTACATAAATTACAATTTACAATACATGTAATTTTACGTAAGTTTCAGAAAATTAGATTTCATGTAATTTTCATTACGTTATACATAAAGTACCAGATTTACAAAAGTTCGGCCAGTATTATTGTATCATTTGATTTTAATGTACGATCCAAATTGTAACTCCTGAATCACCGAAAGTTTGAGCTCAGAAACTAAATGTCATGTGTTCAAAATTACAATTACATGAAATTTCAATTTACCGAATCTTACGCAAAATTACACAAAGTTACGTAAAATTACTGTAATTTTACATCCCTAATCGGGGCAAAGGCAGTTATGCTGTATCTTAGAGTAGTGGAAACTACAAAGGAAGGAGCCTCAGTTAAGATGGGTTTTTAGGTGTGTATTTACAGTGATGTAAGGGAGCGAAACGAGTAATGTGCAATGTTTTATGTGCTTAGCAGAGTAAAGTTTTGTTGCGGTCCGCAGACTCCACAACCCAATTTCAAACACTGAGTCTAACAACTACCTAATCAAATTTGATAAATTTCTTTTATTTGAATTTTATATATCTATAGAATTCAAATAAAAAAATTTATCGAATTTGATCAGGTGATTACTAAGATATTTTGGTTTAAAGTTTTGGGATAATGACCAATCAAATGTTGCATAACCAGAAGAATTTCGGGAGTCGCTTTATGAGTTACCCGTATCGCATAGTATCGATAATGAATAGTTAGTTATACGCGTGGATGTATGCTAGATCGTTTGTGCCTGAACAAAATTTAATTATTGCATTTATTTAGTATGAATCAAAATTTGGTAATGAAATGTTCATTTATTTGGTCTTACGTATGAGCTTGAAAAGTTGATCACATGTATGCAACATTAACAAAAAAAAAAAACCATGCAATCATAATTACAGATAATTACAGACCAGAACCACCGGATTTTAGAATAGCAAAAATAGAACTAGCAATAAATCTGACCGAAAATTGGGTTATTTTTACGTATAGACATATAGAATTAAAATAAACCAATTTCGGTCAGATTTGGTTAAGTGGTTGTCGTGATATAGCTAGTGCTATTTTTGCTATTGCTAAAATCCGGATAAACAAAAGCTCAAAATTTCAATATCGGGGTGGCTTTCTCCCTTTCTTATGCAAAGACTCCATAAATTTTTTTTCAGGGATATATACATTTGTATATATTGTGGCTAAGGTTGCCCCTACCTATAACTAGATGCTTGAGGTCGTACCTGAAATTAGATGTTCCGGGAAGGGCTGATGACCTAAGTCAACATTTTTTTGATATGACTTTGATTATATAATCATATAACTTTTGGCCATAGTTCATATTGATCATACATTATGCTAATAAGTTTTTTTTTTACTGATTCTTATTGTATTAAAAAATCACACAGGATATGAACGTGGTTTGAAACAGATATTTGGTGCAAATAGGAGACCTTTAAGATACAAATCGGGTTCATAGGCGTTCAATACATATCAAAATGCCGATAGCTCTATTGATAAATCGATAAAGCTGCCTTATTAGCTTTATTGATTTGCCTATAGAGCTATCGGCATTCCGATATGTATATATGAACCCGATTTGTATCTTAAAGGTCTCCTATTTGCGCCAAATATCTGTTTCAAATAACGTTCATATCGGGATTGCATGATGCCGATTTGCCTTCATTCAACCTGTGTCAGCTTTCGTAATGACTTATGACAGGTCATAAAGATCATATATCAGATAGGTCATTAAGGTCATCGACCAACAAATGTGTAAATTATGTTGTATTATAAATATTTTATTGTAATAAATCTTGTGCAAACTATTTATCGAAAATGAAAAAAGCAAAGACTTAATCATTATGATTATGATTATGAACGCGCGTTATTAATTAAATCTATGTAAGGTAAATCTATAAACTTTAGAATATTCTATAATTTCATTCATAGATCGAACAATTTTTAAGTTAGTTAAATAAAAATGAAGCCACAATGATAGTGTTTACAAATATAGTAAAGCCAATAAAAGATGATGTGTGCGTGGAGATGCCACTACTTTTTTGAGAACCAGCGGGATTAGTGGTAGTAGTGGTACTTGGAATATTTCCATCTAATATAATGAATAGAAAAAAAAAATAAAAAATTAAAAATAATTTTATCTGTATATATTTAAAATAATATATATAAATTACCTAAGTAAGAAGCACCACACTTTGTTGTAACAGAATTTTGAAGAGACGTCATGTCAACTGATAAGTCAGCCTTGGTATCAGGATGACCTTTAAAATAGTTCATAAAGGTGTTTAAAATGGCTTTATTACAGTCGGTACAATTAAAATCAGTGAGAGCAGTAGCACCCAATCCACTACTGTAACCTAATATCGTTTTAGTATTTTGTTCCAAGCCACAATATCCTCCTGAAGAGTTCTTGAAACACAAAGAATCCCTTGTCGGGGAATTTAAAACCAAAGTTTCTTTTAAGATAGTGATTTGAGGATTTTTCGCTGTAAGCTCTGTTGCACATTGATTTTTAAGTTCAGTGGCAGCATTAGAAGTAGTGTTATCACTGCATTTCGGTGCGGAACAATAACTATCTAAGACTGATTTTGTATCATTTGCACCGATACTTAGCAGTTGTAATAACCTGTAGGGCGAAGCACAAGTGCTGAATTCTGGTGTTGAAGCAAGTTTAGCAATTTCTGTAGTACATGCAGCGGAGAGATTCGTTGGTAGTTGCGGTAGTTGCGCAGAAACAAAACTGAATGCTAAAAGCATGAAAAAGAAAAGTGAATGTATTGGTAGGAATTTCATGATTGGATTTAATTAAAATTTTCAAGAAAAGGAACCGAAATAGATCGATTTTATGAAGGAAGGAAACAGATTTCATTTAAATAGAGCAATATTTGACTATGTGTTTGATTTAACTATAGAAAGCAATTTAATTAACACATGGTATTACCCGTCTAGTCGCGCAACCAAAATCCAGCAGATAGACCTCCAAACTTTACTAATAAACCACGTAAAATTGCTAATTTCGCTATAATATAGTTGGCTAGTATTATTGCTTAATGCCGACCCAGTTCTGAAACATCCCGTCTAGATTTTGGCCGATCTGCTGAATTTTAGTTGCGCATTCTCTTTCTAGAGATGGGCAAAGTCAGTTACATATTATTACATATTATTTCTTCTAATATTTTGCATAATAAGTAAAGAATTATGGATAAGTTTACCAACAAGGTTATTTTTAATTCACTGACAGTTTATTTCACCAAGTTATTTTTATAAATTACACTAACCTTAATCCTATTCTAACTTTTTTTTTTACCCTTAGGTATTCTTACATATCAGTACTTATTATTGCTTATTACGACTGATTATTACTTATTCCGATATAATTTAAAATCCAATCAGGCTTATCTTGCAAATACAGTCTACCCTGGTTAATATCAACCTAAGCCATAAGATGAATTTTTACAAATTTTTATATGTTAAATTCCTCATATATATCAACTTTAATATAATCCCTTGTTAATATCACTATCAACATGAATTTAAACCAATTCAAATGGGTTGATATAAACGAGGGTAGACTATACCACATTTTATTTTTTTTACTTATTATTACCATTACGTAATAAAATTTGGTGGTAATATTTCTTAATATTGACAATCGCCCATCTCTATTATGATATATGAAAAAATTATTGATAAAAATCGTAATAGGTAATAATCATTCGTCATAATCAATAATAGTCGAAATAGCTACGTAGCAAAAATAGCTAGCAAAAATAGCAAATTAGCAATCTACATGAACTGGGCTCGTTCTTAGTTTTGGAACTCTGTGATTTTTTTTCACTCTTGAAAATAATAATACTTGGATTTATGATATAGTAATATGCCGGCCATTTAAAAATTGTCGTTCTTGAACTTTTATATTAAAATTTAATTTAAATAATTAGTATTGGCGCAGTAAATGGCTATATTACTATGTCTGAAACATGGAATTCAACTGATCTAATTGTTCACAACAAAAGAAAAGTCTTATAATTATTGCATGGATAGCAAATTTCGCATCTTAGCACAAAAACAATATAGCCAATCATTCGTAGCAATTTGCTAGAAATAACGTTATTTTAGATGCTACGAATAGTTGGACACTCTGATACTGGGTAAAAAAAAAATAAGTATTCACTACTTACATTATTACCTTACCTAAATCTATCCCATTAGGATCGAGATGCACAATGTTTCGGCGAAATGATTTTCATGGCACATTTGAAACGCGATATTTATATATGAACCTTGATTTATCATTGTATAATGTGATAATTATGAATTTATGATTTTTTAAAAAAAAACTATTACTTATACGTATACATATGCACTTATTATGTATTTAAAATGTTCGCATAAACGTTGTATAAAAATCAGTCCCTCCTCAAAGTGTGTTACATAAGCCGCAGTCACGACATAAAGTTATTGATATTATATGCTGTAGCTGCGGCTTATGTAACAGCACTTTGAGGGGCCGAATCATAATTTATGCATATATGGATGGACTCTCTATATAAAAATTTACCTGAAAAAATTTCAATTTCAGTCCCTTTCTGCTGCAAAGATTCCATAAATTTTTTCGAGAAGTTTGTAAAAATGTTGTGGTTGAAGTTGCCCCCTACTTAGAGTTACAAATTTAGATATTTGAGATTATCCCTGAGATTACTGGATTAGATACATTAAGTAATTTTTTTCAAGAGGAACAACTTCAGAAACGACTAGTGTAACATTTTTTTTTTGATATGACCTTAGTCATATAAATTATACTCATATTAAACGCTAATAAAATAAAATAAAATAAATTTTTTTTATTTGGTCCTTACTATATTATAAAAGGTATCGACTTTCGTTATGACTATGACAGGCCATAAAGATCGGCCAACACTAGACACAACACAGCACATATATAACTGATACATAGTGAATAAAATATATATATATATATATATATATATAGCTAAATATACATTATGCTACGTACATATAATTATTTTATTGTAATATATAAATAAACAAAACCATTTTCAACAAATGAAAAGATTTGATCATTATCATTATATGACTATATAACTATAACGCGCGTTATTACTAAATGTAAACCTTATAAATTTTAGGATATCAATATAATCTTATAATTTCATTCGTAGACTAAACAATCTTTAATTAAATAACATAAGAAATTAAAATAACAAATGAGGCCACGATGATAGTATTCATAAACATCGTAAAGCCAATAAAAGATGTATCGTGCATAGAGATACCGCCACTTTTTGCAGAACCAGTACTAGTAGATTTAGAAGAACTAGTACTACTAGTAGGTTTAGAACTAGTAGGTGTTGGAACAGTCCCATCTACATAATAAAAAAATAATTTTATGAAATATATATACATATATTTATAGTACGTATATATATATATAACTTACCTAAGAAAGAAGCACCGCATTTTGTTGTAACAGTATTTTGAAATTGTGTCGTATTAGTTGGTAATTCAGCCAAGGATTCGGGATGAGCTTTAAAGTAATTCACAAAAGTGTTTAAAATAGCTTTATTACAATCGGTACAACTAATATTAGTGGGAGTAATAGTACTCAATCCACTCATGTAAGTTAATATCGAAGCACTATTTGAATCCAAGTCACAATATCTTCCAGAAGAGTTCTTGAAACACAGGGAATCCTTTAGCGGAGAATTGAAAACAAGAGTTTGTTTTACTGTATAAACGGTAGGATCATTTGCGGTAAGATCTGTTGCGCACTGACTTTTAAGTTCAGTAGCATCAGCAGAAGTGGTATTGTCACTGCATTTCGGAGCGGAACAATAACTATCTAAGACCGGTGTTGCGTTAGTTGTATTTAGCAATTGTGCTAACTTGATAAATGAAGCACAACTGTTGAGGTCTGAACTTACAGAAAGTTTAGTAAGTTCTCCTACACATGAAGTGGAAAGATTTGTTGGTACTTGTTGTGCGAAAACAAAATTGAATGCTACGAACATGAAAATGGAGAATAAACTTATTGATAGGAATTTCATGATTTAAAATTTTCGAGAAAGGGAACCAAAATCGGTCAATTTTAGAAGGAAGCAAACTCCATTTAAATAGGATATTCAAAATACAAGGATTAAACCCGAATATTCGGCCATGTGTTCAATTTACCTATAGCGATAGCGATAGGAAGCAATTTAAAAATTTAAAATTAACATACACATGCACTAACCAGCCAAAGAAATTACTTGGCAAATACGTTATCTGTTGATCACCAGAATGCTAAATATATAAAAATAAATTGACTATAAAAGCAAAAGATTCAAAATAAAATTATATTTTTTATTTTTAACGTTAATTTTTGCATTATTTAAAACGCTGTGTAACATACGTAAAGTTGATAGAACTACCTGCTACGGAACAAAATTCTCAAGATTAGCTTCCATTTCCGCAGGATGTCCACATCTTTAATATTTTGAACAATAATGATAAGTTACACTACGGTCACTAATAACATTACTTGTTATCTAATAAACCCAAATTTTTTCTCTTGGGCAGCCTGCATTTTTTCGGTTTAGTGGTTTGTTTTCTTGAAGACTTATTAGTTTTGAAATAGTTGGTTTTACATGTTTAAAGATAAATTTGTAGAAGTTGATTCACCAATCATATTAATAAAACAAGTTCGAAAAAGATTTCGGTATAATAAAAATAATTCATAATTTAAATTGATATATCACTGATGAAATTATTATTATTAAATCACTGTAATAAATTTTTGCATTCTGGAAAACAATGTAAAGCAACGCAACAACAGAGGTTTAAGCGTATTACTTAGCTTAAAGCATCTCCCTCTATAAGTCAACCCATTTGATTATTCTATATATGTAATTTACTAACTTAACATTTGTTTAAATTTTATTATCACATAATTGCATTGTCTGTAAAATTTCGGTTAGAATGAACTCTGGATATAATGAACTCAAAATTGAAATTTTATATATTAGTTAGGTATAAAAAGTGATATGGGCTTTTAAAATATAGTGATAGTATTTCTAAGAGAAAAATAAATCAGAATTAACAATTTGGCATAACAATAACGATGTCGCACTTGATCTTACGAAAATAAAAAAAAATTTATATACATTAATCATGTTCACATGTTAATATCGATATTTGGGTAAATTATTATTGTTAATATGCGCTAATTAAATGACATTATCAGAATTTCATTAAAAGTTTTCTTACAACATTTTAAGGAATAAGTTTTTTAAATAAAAATCATGTAACATATGAGTGCTGTCAATAGAAAACCTGTCATCGGACATTCAATTATATTTTGTGTTCAGTTAGCCATCTACGGAAA